CCACCACCACCACTCCCCACCCCCTCACCCCCCAGGCCAAACTCTCTCTCCGTGTGTCTGCTGCTGTGGAGGGAAAATAACTCGTGCACCAGGAATCAGCGCTGAAATCACAGGAAACAACAGACTGCAGGTCTGTGCTGATCACAGGCTCCACACAGTCTGAACCTACAGCAACACTGGACCCTGAACACAACACTGCACCCTGCACATACACTGTTTGATTGACAGGTCTGCAGACACACACACTGAATCTGTATAACAAGAGTTATACAGTTATAATAAACTATATATATATATATTCGCTGTAATTTCATTGTTTTATTTTTAACTGTCTGTTGTTTTTATTATTTTTATTGTGTTTTTAATCTTCTGTAAAGTGTCCTTGAGTGCTGTGAGGCGCTGCCAAATAAAATGTATTATTATTATTATTATTATTATTATAAATCAAGTCATCAAAAACTGACCTTTTAATTTACCAACATTTTAATCAAGAATCTTAAATAAATGTTATTATTTTTAAACTGACTATGACTCGACGCGGCTCGTTTGTTTCACTGTATATGGAGGAACCTGGTCTCACGCCAGACTCCATTAACAAATATAAATATTTAATCAGGCCTTGCTGTTTATTATATTTTAACTATCACCTACGCCTGGTTTTAGACATTTTATCAATAGTGTGTTCTCTTTATATGAATTCCGGATAGAAACTTTCTTTGAACTATACCTCACTTTCGATTCTCTTTACTTTTACCACAGAGTCAGCCGAGTCGCTGCCGCCCCGCACGGCGCGTCTGACGGGAGCAGACGGCCGCAAAAACAGGCGAACCAGCAGTAAAAGTTCAAGCTCTGATGAAAAACGTCACTGCTTTAGAACATTTGTTTCATGCCGAATTGAACAGTGTGTCATACCATAACGAAAACCGCGAAGTGCTTTTGTATTGTTGATATATAGGTGTGCCGATACCGACGGAGGCTTAAAAAGGGGCCGTTTCTAAACGGAATTTGGTGCTACGTTACGGTGGGTGTCGAGGCTCGTCGAACCCCTCCGCTAATGTCATCAGAATATCGAGTTTTACGGTAAAAAAAAAAAAAAAAGAAAAGCTGAAAACTTTACGTCTAAATGTCACGTGAAACGGTACACGGCTCAATACAGCGTGTTCTTACCTGAGAGGACACCGATACTGAAGACATGGAGACCGGCGTCTGTCTGCTCCGTCCCGGGGTTTGAAATATGATGATACCGGTTCACTTCACGTCCTCGTCAGTCTGTCTCTGTCCTCCGGTGTGTGTGTGTGTGTGTGTGTGTGTGTGTGTGTGTGTGTGTGTGTGTGTGTAGCAGAAGCAACAAAACAAGCCCGTCCGTGTCTCCGAAAGAATAAAGAGGAGGGCTGAAAGAGGAGTCTGGCCCGGGGCCCTTCAGACCCCCGGGGGCCAGGATTAGGTTACAATAATGCGGGCGGTTTGTTCTTTCTCTCTCGCCCCAACTCGTTCCTGTCAGCCGGGGAGAGGAGCGCGAGCTGTCGCAGAGATGTGGGCTGATTTATCACAAGAATGTTTTATCCATCAAACAGAAATCCGTCCTGTCGTCTCCACAGAGAAAAACAGCAGCTCCGCTTCCTCCGTGTTTAAATATGCAGCTGCGGCTCCGCACGTCCGCGACTCTCTCCCCGACTACTCGTACATTTTAGCAGCATCAAACATCCCTCTGGCTCTGGAGCCAAATGACGTCTATCGTCATGCATTATGCCCTTCCAGCAGCCCGAGGCCAAATGCGCCATTTCAATTACTGCGCACTGGTAGATGGAGATGTGCGCCGGGAGGGTGCGCACAGAGACCCGTTTTATTCTGCTCCTCATCTCTGAAAGCTGAATCCTAAAATGCCTCCGCGTCTGAAATCAGGCTGAGAGTCAGCGGAGCTTCGGTCCGTTCACCGGATCATCCGCAGCGCAGACAGGAACCATTTTGTGTTCCGGTGCGCGCAGCTTTACGCAGACACAGTGGGCCGGGTGTGATGAGGCCATGTGGCCGCTGACTGTCACATCCATCCACAGACTCCCGCTCACACTCCCCTCGCTCCTCCTGCTCCCTGTGGCGGCCGTGACCCAGTGTCCTCTGTCCTCCATCACAGGATGATCCAACAGACTGACTCTGACACTGACAAGCTGCCGGTGTAATTGGAGGTTTGGAATTGTTGAGGTCAGAGGTCACAGAGGTCTCTGTCCTCTCTGTTGAGACACACCTATCTCCTCCTGCAGCCAGGTGTCCAGGTGTTTCAGATCAAGTTGAATTAAAGTTGTGAGTTGTAAAGCAGTGGTGCCCAACATGAGGTGTGGGGACCAACAGAGGACGTGAGGAACATGCTGCGTTCAGTTGCAAACAGAAAAGGTTGTGAATTGGCGCTATACAAATAAATTAACTTCACTGATGTCGTCTGGCAGTAATAGAACCTCTTTACCTCCTCTGCACCTCCTCTGTACCTCCTCTGCACCTCCTCTGTACCTCCTCTTTACCTCCTCTGCACCTCCTCTGTACCTCCTCTGCACCTCCTCTGTACCTCCTCTTTACCTCCTCTGCACCTCCTCTGTACCTCCTCTTTACCTCCTCTGCATCTCCTCTGCACCTCCTCTGCACCTCCTCTTTCCCTCCTCTGCACCTCCTCTTTACCTCCTCTGCACCTCCTCTGTACCTCCTCTTTACCTCCTCTGCACCTCCTCTGCACCTCCTCTTTACCTCCTCTGCACCTCCTCTGCACCTCCTGTACGAGGGGTTTCCCTGTGCCGGTCTGTAATTGTCAGGGCTGATGGGAAACTAATGTGTGTAATTGAGGTCGGTGACAGAGACTGAACCAGCTCCACGTCTTCGTCTGAGTAGAGGACAGAATCAGTGAACACACACACACACACACACACACACACACACACACACACACACACACACACACACACACACACACACACACACACAGTTAACTCTCCTCCTCCATTTGTTTCTGCCTCAGGCTGCTCGTGTCTCCCTTTACTGAACAAACCAGCAGAAACACTGGATCCCCCCCCCCACCCCCTCTAATTAAAGAAACCCTGCAGTTACTTCAATTAGATGAAGAACGAGGGAAACATGTAACGAATTTAAAGATTTAAATATCTCCCAAACGTGCTCGAGGCGCCGCAGCTCCGTTTGTAATCTATGATNGGTGGGGGGGGTGGGGGGGGTCCGGTCCTCAGACATCTGTCAGTGTGACACCTCAGGAACGTTTCCTTCACATTGACTTCATGTTTGACGTTTTGAGGCCAGAAGCTGAAGCTGCTGCTCTGAGTGACTCTGATGTCCTGGTGAAGAAGATGATGATGATAATGATGATGATGAATAAAAAGGAGGCAGCGCAGACAGCAAACATGCTAACACTTCACGATTAGCAGCAGCTATGAGCATCCTTTCAATTTCCAACTAGAGTCACCTCCTCACGGTCGTATCCCTCCGCCACTCAGACGAGTCCCAGGTCACTTCCTGTTCATCCAGAGTCAGAGAAAATATTAAATTTGAACCATTTGGTTCAAAAAGTCTTGAGTAATGGCTAAAAATTGTTTTCTGAGGTCACCGTGACCTTTGACCTTTGACCACCAAAATCAAATCAGTTCATCCTTGAGTCCAAGTGAATGATTGTGCAAAATTAGAAGAAGTTCTGTCAAGGTGTTCCTGAGACATCGTGTCCAGGAGAATGAGACGGACAGACGGACAACCTGAAAACAAAATGGCTGCCGCTCTGACTGTCGCAGCACAGAAGAATAAAACAAATTAAATCACAGAGAAAAGCTCAGAACTACAACCTTCACTGTGTGAAATTCATGTGTTCACTCACTAGATGTGGTGACATGGTGAAGTAAACCGACTGCACCACATCTCAGCTAACGAGCTAAGCTAACAAGCCAGGTATGGTGAGCGCAGACACTGATACTTGCTAATGAGTGCTAAAAATAATAATAATAAAAATAATTTTCACATGTTCTGTTAGTCATTTAACCAGATTATATATCTGATATTCATTCATTCATATTCATTAATTCATACATGAAGAACCACAAACACTCAGCTGAGCAGACAGCTAGGAGCTAGCCACCGAGCAGCTAGCCAACTGTGACACGCCCTCAATCCTCCATAACTGTAGTCCTTAATAAAATGCAAACAGGTGAGTTTTATAAACAGGTGAGCTCTATAAACAGGTGAGTTCTATAAACAGGTGAGTTCTATAAACAGGTGTCATGAAGGAGGAAATTAGTTTCTGTACCAGGCTGTAAACATGTTTATTTCTGCTGTAAAGTTGGACATTTTAACATGGGAGTCTATGGGGACTGACTCACTGTTGGAGCCAGACTCTAGTGGTCGTTAGAGGAACTGCAGCTTCTGGTTCTTCAGGTTAACAGTATGTTATCTGCATTGAAATGACTGTAAATAAATACACTGACAGACTGTCGTCTATAGTTTATTCTGCTTTTGTTTTCATACAGAACAACGTGTTAATATCTCACTTGTGTTTTACAATAAGAGCAGGACAGATGTTTGTCAGCTTCCTGCTTCATGTTTATGTGATGTAGAACATCTGTAATAGGCTGCACAACCAGCATCTGTGTCATATCTGAGCTTTATACTGGGCCTTTATTTCTGATCAGATTTATATGTATAATTAATACATGGGTTTATTGATCAGTATAATCTGTTTTTAAAGATATAATAACTGGTTTATTTCTCTCTTCTAACAGACTGACACAGTGTCTTCATACCTGAGTATTAACTACATTAAACCTTTCTATACTGCCTACACATGGGGGGGGGGGGGGGGTGATTTTGTTGAGGGTTTTGTGATACGTGTGTGTGTGTCGGTCGTGTGTGTTTGTGTGTGTCTGTCCTGTGTGCGCTGATTGGTGTGTGTGTGTGTGTCTGTCTGTGTGTGTTCTGTGTGTGTGTGGTGTGTGTGTCTGTGGTGTGTTGATTTTTATGGTTGTGTATCTGTGGTATCTTGTGTGTGTTGTGCCCTCCTGGTCCTGTTGTTGAATGTGCGCACCTGACGGGGGGAGGTGTGTGTGTGTGTGTGTGTGTGTCCCGTGAATGGTGAGTATCTGTGTGTATTTGTGTGTGTGTGGTATGTTGGTGTGTGTGTGTCTGTCTTGTGTGTGTGTCTGTGTGTGGTGTGTGGGGTATGTGTGTGTATCTGTGGTGTGTGTGTGTGTGTGGTGTGTGGGTTGTCCGTGGGTGGTGTGCGTGTGCAAATGCCCCTCGGGATCTCGTGTGTGTTTCTGTGT